TATCTAAAGACAATGTACCTTATCGACTCAAATCTGTTTGAAATCACATAGGGTCAATATGACCCAAAACATATCAGATGTTAAAATCATAAATAATATTCAACGTTAAACTGGTACACAATTAAAAGACATTTTATTTAGGCCTATCTATGGCCTTCAAAAAGTTGACGACTCAACATGTCTTTTAATTGTGTACCAGTTTAACGTTGAATATTATTTATGATTTTAAAAAAGCATAACGTTCCAATATCTGGAGGCAACGCTAAACGTGGGGTGACAGTATGTAAGACACGGGCAAATAACCTGCTTAACTCCTTCATTGTCATGTTTATAGATAAACCACTGTTCCTGTTACAGGGTTTGTTTTTAAATACCCATAGAAACATAGAACCAATTACTCTTAACCCATTTATTATTTGTTTTATCATCATTACCTGAAATATTTCACACCTGATTATATTCTCATAATTCAATAAAATAATTAGTTGTGCATTTATTTCAAAAATTTCAAAACTGATATACAACTTTTTGATTTCATTTTCTTTAATAACTATAATACATTTCAGAGTATTTACTTATTATCACTCTTTGAAATTACAAAAAAGGTATATAGTGTGTTACATGTATGCCAATGGCGGAAAAAGTTGTACACTGATAAGGTATGGTGGTAAGTGAAAAGCGTCGTCAGCAGTCGAATACAATAACCAAAGTGTATCTGATGTGCTGATGTTACTTTTATATCTTTGGGCTGGGTCTTTTGAATTAATTGGAAAAAATTATATCCAGTCCAAGTAGGGATAAAGTCTTAGTTTTACTTTTTAGCAACGTTTGCTGGGTGTTTTTTTTTATTATCCAATTAAAATAATGTCCAATAGAAATAATTAATATTTTCTTTATTAATGTTTGCTGTAGAATATGTTCACTTGTCTTCCTAACTTACTCAAATAATTCAGAATTTCCTTACTAATGGATAGATAATAATACGTTAGCTCACTGACTTATTGAAACCCAGATAAATAGATGCGATAACTCTCACTATGAAATTCACTAACAGACATTGAACTTATATACTCTTTAACAGACATTTTTATATAATTCTTGTTTTATGCTTACTTCACGAACCTTATAGATTCTAACTTTCACGAAATTTCTAGATGACGCCCTGACACACTCCCTCTATCAACACACATCTAATTTAAAATATTAAAAATACAACAGTTTATTATTTTTTACTAAAAACCCGTAGTTGGCCAATAATAAATGGAGTCATTAGAATTATTATCAGTATTATGGTGATGAGATATCACAAAAATTACTTATTAATATTTTTATTGTTTATCCCATCTAAACACATACTTATAAGATACATCATTTACTGAAATTGTTAAAACTTAGGCAGATTATGCAGCTCATATAAACCTTATGGGTTACTAAAAGTCAAAAATAGTACGCTCTTTGAATTATTTACTCTCGCCACAATATCTAGTTCAACAGAAATAGATGATGCAACGAACGTTAAGAAGCCGACATGGCTAGGTGGTTAGGGGCGCTCGACTCACTATGTTAGGGTCGCGGGTTCGAATCTCCGTCCCACCAAACATGCTCACCATTTCAGCCGTGGGGGCGTTATAATGAGAAATTCGAAAACAAAGAAGCGTTGAGCGAAGTTCTGCCATGAAACGGGAAGATATGAGCATTGCATTCAAATGATGAACCTCTGCTACGAAACGGAATAACGTTTGTAATGATATCGGATGTTACTTCTGCAGGTTAAGTGTGATTACGAAACTCATAAGACATAAAAATAGCTCTCTTTTCTTTTGCTAATGACCAGAACTGCGTAAGAAAATGAAGTCTGCGTTATAAGACAAGGACTTTTGACATCTAAGATAAACAAACGTAAACTAAACTAAAGTCGTTTTGCATTACATGAAAAACTTAAAATTTTAGATTCGCGTTATTGTAAATAAATAATTTCC